GGGAAGACGCGGGAGGGGGCCGAGGAGCAGCTGACGAGCGGCGACCTCCTCTCCAACCGCAGGATGTTCTACCTGCTGAAGGGCGCCTTCCCCGCCGTCCAGGTGGGTGCCGGGCTCCCTCCCGTGAGGCGGGGACGGGGGCGGGCGGGCTGCTGCGGGCCCGGGCGCCCCCCCGCCGGGCTCCCGCGCCGCAAGGGCTCGGCCGTTTGCGGGGAGACACGTGTCAGCGCTCCGTTTTGTAACCGCCGACGGGAAATACTGCCCTTACTTTGCATTTTTGCTTCTCCTCTTGCCGATTTTGTGGCAGTGCCACCTCGTACTTGTTGCCGTGGGCGTTGGGTTGCAAGGGAAGGAGTTGGATCATGTATGAGCGAAGCCATGCAAGGTGGAAGTATATGTTTGAAATGGTAGGGACGTGAGGGGGGGGAAACGCCGAGTCTGAACACTGTGAATTATGCTGCCTCTGGTTAAGGATAAAGGTAACTTCATAGTGCCGATTCTGCATGTGTTTATGATGCTGCGATTAGCAATGCTGTTGTTTTCTTAAGTTGTCCTTCCTGCCAGTTGTCCTTCCTGCCTTAAGTTTTAGGGAGAGCCAGGAGTGAGGAGAAGGGGTTGAGGATTTGAGGTCTAGGAACGTAGCGTTACAACATCTGAGTTTTTTAGCTCTTGTGACTTTGGGACAGCAGATAAGCTAACAGCTGTGTCACGTTACAGCTCACTGCCTACGTGGGCAAAATGAGGTGTACACCTTCCTCCAATGAGGTGTACACCTCCCTTTGTACACTTGCCTCCAAAATCTGCGTCTAACACTTGAGGTTGCACCCAAAACCAGAGCCACACTTTGAGGCTTTTTGGTTGTTGTCAGCTTTGTTTCCACTTTCGCTTTAGTAAATGGGAACTTCTGTTCAGTCTCTTGATGTTAAATTCCTTAGCTTTTTACAGTCATTTGAAACGGGTAGAAAACCCTAAGTTTGGATTTCAGAGTTGATGATTGCATGCTTTTCCTGGACAGATTGAGAGAAAAAGTAGTGTAGTTAAGTTTATTTTTTGGTTGTTTAGGTACTACTCAATGAGTTTTCAGTGGCTGTTCTGGAAGTTCCTCAGGGTGGTGTGTGGGGTTTTTTTGTGGTTTTTTTTTTTTTAAAGTGTTTTAGAGAACCCATTGAATACGAAATCTAAAGGAAACACCAAATTCTTCAATGTCAGAAATAAACTTGATATGTGATTAATCTTTCTCTACAGAAAGATTATGAAGGTTATGTTCTGAAGATTGCTGGATTGTCTGTCAATGGCAAGCCACCTTCTCAGGCCCTACGTTAAAGGAAGAAGTAGTATTGTCCGCTCTTCTCTTTTGCTATTCAGTGTCCTCACGGAGCTTGGCATTACAGCATACCTGTATCACTGCCCGAAACCTGTATGCTTTCTCCCCTTCCACAGATGGAAGGCCTTCATTAGTTTAGACCTAAGAGTTGTCCGTGCTTCTAGAGAAGGCTGGGGGTTCGGTTTGGGCTTGAAGAGCTCAGTGAACTGTATTGCCTGTTCCGTGTCTGTGGTCACATGTGTAAACTCTGGTCTGGTGCCTGGGATGCCTAGCAGTGACAGTCTGACTTGTAGGTCTTCCTCTCAGAGGGTGTTAACTTTGAACATCTACTTTTAAAAAAAACTTCGGTACTCCTTTTTATTTTCCTTACAGTTGACTTGTGCTGCTAGTCTTTAAAAATAAATGGTACTTTCTAAAGTGCAGATGTGTTCTCAAACACAATATGAAGACAAAAATGTGTGTATACATCTGTGGACTGGAAAAAAAATCAGACATATGTCTTTCTCCTCTCTTCTCCTGTCTTTCTCCTCCTCCCCCCCCCTTAGATTGACTGAGCTTGAGCATTGAGGATGACTAGGGAGAGTTTGTTTGACAAATCTTTCAGCTGATCCAGAGTTATTCAATCTGACAGATCAGCTCTGGGATATTTAGTATTCTGAGTACATGATCTGGATAATAACAGCTTATCTCATGCGGCGTTTAAAAAAATATCCACTAAGTTGTATATACTGATAAGACATGCTGTCTCTTGAAGTCTATACTATGATGAAGATGTATTCATACACATTTGTCCAAACCAAAATAAAAACTTTTTTTTACTATATACATGTGACACTATACGCTTCTCAGGTGTGAAGTCAAGGTCTCATCTCAGTCTGCAAATCCTTCATATGTGCCTTCAGCACAACACATCTAAAACTGCTACTGTTTCATAGAACAGACCTGCTGCAGTTTTAGTGGGAATATGAGGATTGTAGAGGATATCCTGAGACACCTTTCATGGGAGGCAGTATAAGGCTGCATCTTGTAAGAAGCATCACACTTCATGCCTCTAGCCTTATCCCCATGTACAGAGGGATGCTGCAGAATAAAAAACATTGCTGAAGTCAAATAAAACCCCTCTTCTCTTCTCACTAGAGAAGATGCTGCTAACAAAAGCCGTCAAACAAAACCTGAAAGAATTCCAAGAGTAAACTTATGCAAAATGCTGATTTACTCACATTGTTGAGTCCTTGAGCCTAACAGGGGTACCTCAACATTTAAATTGGTGCCAAATGCTGCAGCCAGGAAAAAAAACAAACCAGCATAAAAACTGGGTGCCAAAATGTGCCTATAATGCAAAGGAAATGATCCATTAATTATCCTCTAAGAACAGCTATGGCTGTCCAACGTTTAAATATAACCAGGGGGAGAAGTCATTTGACTGAAATAAACTTAAGTCAGTGAGCAGCCTTGGATTCCCTGTGTTGTGCTGCTGGACATAATGAGGGAAAGCATGCAAACAGTCTGTCTGAAGCAGATCTTCTCTTAAGGTGTGATTATTAAGAGAAGGTGGAAGAGTTAGGCTTCTCGCTTGTGGAAGCTGAAATAAATCTGGAAAGAGTCTTACAATCCTGGCAGTTGTGATTTATAAAAAAGCTTTCAAAATCTGAAGGAAGGAAGGGGGGACGGGACGGGACTATAGAAAATGTTTTGCCTTTGTCTTTTCATTTAAGTAAAGATATTGTCTCTGCGGAGGAAGAGGAACTCCACTGCTTACATCACCTGCTCTGTTTGACATAAATAGATGCATGTGCATCAGTTCAAGACTTCTCACAGCTAGGTTAGGTAAGACCGAAGAGGAGCAGATCAATTCTGTTTTATCATTGTGTAGCAGATTGAATGGTGTTGAGTATTGTTATTACATCCCTCAGAAATAGGCATGAGAAAGATAGGAAAGGACGGGGGCAAGTCAGTTATTTCTAACTCGGGTATTACCCAGTGTTGTCTGATCACACTCAACATCCAGCAATGAGTATTTGCACGCATCTGTGAAGTATGTTTGTGCAGTTGATTTTAAAATACATTTCATGCTAAAATATATGCAGTGGTTTCTCTTGATAAAGTCCTCAAGCCTGTGACTGCAGTTGAGGTGTTTACTGCTCCTGCACTACCAGTGTGTTGTCCTCGCCTGTTGGTCATGCTGAGAACAAGTTAAAGCTCTGATCCAGGTATAATCATCCCCTCTGCCCCTTTTCATTTTTTTATTTATCTTTTCTGGGTTACTTCATTGCTTTCCTGGTTGGTTCTCCATGCAGCCCCATTTATTCCTTTTGCTAGCACAGTGGTGGTGTGATAAAGAAGGACTGGGATGGGAATCAGGTGAGGGGATTAAGGAGATGCTCGAGCCAGCCCCGCTGCTGGGGGGAGGGGGACTGGGGAAGCAGTGTTTCCAAATCCAGTTAGAGACTGGCCAGAAACAGTGGTACGTTCTGCCCAGAAGAGCTCCTCTGTTTGAAGAGATGATCTCATGATACCAGGGATTCAGCAGCATTACCTGGTAAAAGAGCTTCTCTCTCAGTACCACACATCGGGGTCTTCCATTTTTCTAATGCCGCTTGTCCAGGGGTCAGTGTCAGGAGCTTGATACTGAATGTATCCAAGGTAAAAATGTAAAATAAAGATGACTTAGGAATACCCTGGTTCACTTCACATTATGGCCCTACCAACAGCCTGCATCAGCGCATCTGAAGGAGCAGACCTACTTGCTCACAAAGGCAGGAGTGATTGACAGAGGAAGATGTGTTCCTTAAACTAACACTGTGGCCAAAGTCATTCTGTCCTCCGACTACGAAAAAGCCAATTTTAAAGTGACCCACACAATTCTGTTATTTTGCTTCTGCACTATATAACTATATTATTAGCCTACTGAGGGTGGAAGCAAGGACAGGAAGCCTGGGAGGAATACAGAGAAATTGTCTGAGCAGCCAGGGATCAGGTTAGGAAAGCTGAAGCCCTGACAGAATTAAATCTGGACAGGGACATCAAGGGCAACAAGAAAAGATTCTGTAGGTACGTCGGGGATAAAAGCAAGACTAGGGAAAATGTGGGCCCTCTCCAGAATGAAATGGGAAACCTGGTTACCCAGGATACAGAGAAGGCAGAGGTACTCAATGACTTTTTTTGCCTCGGTCTTCACCAGCAAGTGCTCGAGCCTCACTGCCCAAGCTGCAGAAGGCAAAGGTGGGGACTGGGAGAATGAAGAGCTGCCCACTGTGGGAGAACATCAGGTTCGAGACCATCTAAGGCACCTGAAGGTGCACAAGTCCATGGGACCCAATGAGATCCATCCACGGGTCCTGAAGGAACTGGCGGATGAAGTTGCTAAGCCACTATGCATCGTATTTGAGAAGTCGTGGCAGTCCGGTGAAGTTCCCACTGACTGGAAAAGGGGAAACATAACCCCCATTTTTAAAAAGGGAAAAAAGGAAGACCCGGGGAACTACAGGCCAGTCAGTCTCACCTCTGTGCCTGGGAA